TCGAAAGATGCCAATCAGAAAGATGGACCTGTACATATAAGCTACCTTAACTTAATGGACTTAGCTGGTTCTGAGAGAGTTTCTCTGACGAAAGCTGCTGGTGAGCGTCTTAAAGAGGGGGCTAACATAAACAAATCTTTGTCAGTATTAGGAAATGTGATAAGGCAACTAAGCGAGGGGAAGGAGTTTATCAGTTATCGCGATTCGAAATTGACTAGACTGCTCTCACAGGCTCTTGGCGGTAATGCCAAATCATTGATTATCGGGAATGTTACTTTAGCTGCAGAGGAGGAGACTAGATCTACACCAGAATTCGCCCAAAGCACTAAAACTGTCAAAATAAAACGAAAGTAAACATCTTGTCAGCTACAGAAGAGACACTTCAAGGATATCAGAACTTGACTCGCGATCTCGAAACTCGGCTCAAAAAGCAGGCAATTAAGCTAAAGGAGATGGATAAAAGCAAACAAGAGTATCTGCTCGAGATAGAAAGACTAAAAACGGAAGTATCTATTGTCGGGCGCTTTCAAATGGGAGCCTCGGCATCAACACCGAAAAAAACATTAAGACGTCATACTTTTGGACACTATGGCAACGTATCACCTAAAAAAGCATCCCTAGGGTATATGCCATTGAAAAATTATCCACCCAAAGAAGAATCATCCGGACGTGAAATGAGGCCTATTCAAGAAGAGACATATGAGGAGGCACTAGCCGAAGCAGAATCTGTGATAGCTGAAGACGTGCAAGTGTACTTAAAAGACAACTCAAAGAACTGGAAGAATCTTTCAATGAGCTTAGAGAATTCACTAAACTAGATAATCAGCTGGAGATTTTGGACCTGAAGAAACAGCTCACAGAAGCCAATTCTAAAATCGATCGTTACAGTCAGGAACTCCGCCAAGTAACGGATGCGTACAACGAAGAAATAGAAAGAGTTCAAAAAAATTCTCAAAAAGCGCAAGAATTTCATCGACTTGCAATACAGACTCGATTTTCTGGAAAAAAATAATAAAAAGACTAAAAACATACGAGTCAGAAATAGAGATGCTGCGTACTCAACTGAAGAACCTAGGAAGATCAGAGAGCCCTAAACCATCTCTTGAAGCTCAAAATATTGAGTCAAAAAAGAAGGTTGCAGACTTAGAAGCTATGCTTGACGCTGAGTACGAAGATATGCAACATTCTTTAAGTGCTGCTGCACAAACTGATGTAACGATGTCACACATTGCTGAACTGCAAGATGAAATTGGCTTCCTAAAAGAACTTGAATCTAAACTGAGAAATGACGTAAAGAGTCTGATGGACGAGAGTAACCAACGTGAGGTCAACCACTCATTTAAAATTTCAGATATACGATGCCATAATGATTCTACTATAAAAGAGCTTCAGGATCAAATGGCTGAACTGGAATGCCAAAACGAAATCTGGATTATGAAAAAGGACGACGAAATCAGAAAATTGCAACAACTAATTACAAACCCGAAGCAGGCTGGCACTTAACCAGAACCACCTGTGCAGGAAGACGTTGCATTTTATAGGGAGCAAGTTGAGTTCTCCCAGAACATGTACAAAAATGAGATAATAGGTGGAGAGTTACGTATAAACCATAGAGAAAATCTTCAGGCAGTTAAACTAGAAATATGTCTACCCTTGTTTAGTGTTTACGATTATTGCAGGGTTTGGACAAAGTTTAGGGCTGATCCCAGTGCTCACAGTGTACAATTTTCAGCTAATAAATCTTGAATTCTGAGGTAACAAAATCAACTAGAACTCTGAAAAAGTGATTTATCAGAAATCATGCCCTTACTTCCATGATAAGAGGGATTCGTAAAAATTATAAGCAGGTTGTGGCTTATTATCTAGTAAAAGATACAAGAATCCCAGATCTGAAAACGATTATTGTTCATGTGATCACAAACTAGCAGCGACTTGGTTTGTGCGTTGTTGGCACTATTTCTAATCAGGGCGCAACGATCAAAAACGCACTTGAGACGATTTGCTCGGAGAATACTCACGGATCAAGTCCATTCCATTTTATAGTCAATGCTCAGAGTATTTCTACAATTTGTGATGAACCACATTTATTCAAAAATGGATGAAATGCTCTTATTGACATTAATATGAAAGTGAAGAAGCTGCACAGATTGAACATGTCTAGAAATCATATAATCTTGATCAGCAAACAAGACCATACAAAGAGCTATGTAAATTGAAACCCAGCCACTTTGATTTTATAGATTCGTTCAAGAATATAGAAATTAATCCTTTAATGATATCGTCGGATGATTCGAGCTTTCTCAGTTATGTGGTGGGGGTCCCGTGACTTCTCATACGGTATGAGCACGTATACCTCAAACCACAGTTTAATTTAAACATCACAATTGTTGGTTTGTTGACTTTGCGGTCAAATTTGATCCGAGGATGTCAGTTGCGTGTACGATTTGAACTTCCTTCACAATGGATTTTTTCGTTGTTGACGGATGAACAATACACTATAGACTACGCCGAGGACGACGCTGCTATCGATCAACCTGAACAACTTCCTATGGGCGACCTCGCTATGCCTATGGAAAAAACATGTACAATTGGTCAAAACGAGCGCCTGCAACTGGTCGATTATTACGCATTTACCTGAACTAAAGTCCGTGGCAACAAATTTGGAAAATAATAACCCTGTGACTCGAGAAATGCCGATAAATTTCTCCAAATACGTGAAATTTTCGAGACACTCATAGAGAACTGTCGAAATTGTTATATTTCGGGTGAGTCCCCTACAAAATACGAGATGCTCGTGGGCCGATGTCCTTCCTGTGCCTACAAGAAAACTAAACCGAATAAGTATGGACTGATGATGCAAAGACTCACCACTACCTGCTCAATGCTTTCGTCTATACGAACAGAAATATCACAGCAGATGACTGGTTCACGTCAGTAGAATTACATGTAGAATTGCGCATCAACCAACTGACCTATGTCGGCAGGAAGCGTAAAAATAAGTAACAAGTACCCCAACATGTAGTTCCAAATAAGAAGGAAACACAGCCAGGTACTTCCAAGTTTATGTTGTACAGCCTTAGAGTAGTATCTTCCAAAACCAAATACACATGTTCTCGTATAGCAATCTATGCAGCATGATAACAAAATAGTAGAGGAATCAAAGAAACCTGATAAGATCCTATATTATTTTTATAACACTATGAAGGCGGGGGGGTAATGCATTAGATCGGAAGTGTGTAAATTACAATACTGGTTAGAGAACGAGAAGATGGCCTTGTGCTATTTGGTATCCAACCAGCTTCTGTAAATTCCTTTTTTTTCAGTCTGGGACTGAAAGTTCCATTAGGCGACGAAATTTTATTGTTCCCCTGAGGCAAACTCTAATTTAACTTCGTATGAGAGGACGTTTATCAGATCCAAGACTTCCTAGGGAGCTTCGTTCAGCCATGCAAAGAATCCTAAATTACCAACGACGAATAAAGTAAGCCGTCTACTTCTCAGCCCAGAGTTCTCGATCCTGATGCAGTTGTTAAAGAAAAAAAACGACGTAGGTGTTACATGACAATACACAATGAAAAAAATGTTCTACAATCTGTAATAAGTATGTAAAGTCACAGCGCACTTACATTGTTTCGTGAAAAGTGATAAATGTTAATTATTGTATGTTTCCTTATACGAGAAAGTATTTGTTTTTGTTGTAGAATATCAACACCAAATATGTTGTTAAATGGCCCATTTTGTTAGTTTTTTTATGTTCATATTACAGTTCAAGTTTCGAGGATTATATTTATTGCATTACTCATCTTCAATGGGGTATTTTCGTTTTTAGACAATAAACAGTTTTCATGTAAGAGTGTCTTATGCGTACAAACCTGTTGTACACATGGCTAAAAACAGTAATGGCATTTCAGATGTTGATAGTAAGATCCGGTGGATAACCTGTTTTGCGAGATTAGACGTGGGATTTCCAACACGAACACCATCTGTTTATTTGAAGCATTAAAAACTGTAATAATCAACAATTTCAGTTTTCCATTGACAATAATGAAGAATTATGAAGGCGATTCATGTAAGGCACTAGGTAACTTCGCGTTGCTTTTAGAAGAGTATTGTCTGAATAGACAACAGTTACCTTGTGATTCTTCACCGAGCTGCATTTTTCAAGTTGAAAAATCGGGTGCTGAAAGTGATGGATCTATAGATTTGTGAGAATTTGCTGCTGCTTCAACTTCTTTTTGTAATAACAATAACAGTCTATATGAAATTTAACAATTCTGTTTCTTCTTTGATTTTGAGTCACCCTGTAAATGTAGCTCTACTAAACTATCGGACCGCATTCATAGCCTACAAGAGAAAAAAATCTTCTATACTGGAAAGGAGGAAAAAAAGAATGTATCAACCTGATACATCTGCCCCTCTTTATAACCCGTGAAATAGCCCTAGTTCTAATTAAATTTCAGTTCAAGCTTCCAAAATGACTTCCAACAATATTAAAGTAGCCACAAAGATCAGACCAATGATCCACCGCGAAGTAGCCGATGGTCTAGAGCGTCTTTGGAACGTAAGAGTAAACTGCATATGGGAAGCCGATGAAAGTAGTCGCCATGGAGAGGTTTATATATTCGACCATGTATTTAATCAGGAATGTACAAATTCAGATGTATATGGATCTGTAGTAAAACCTTTAGTCGATTCCTTCATGGAAGGTTTCAATGCCACAATATTTGCATATGGCCAAACATCTTCTGGCAAAACACACACCATTTTGGGCAATAAAACAGATCCTGGGCTTTTCCAATTAGTATCCAATCAGTTATTCCAGCATGTGGCAGACCAGGTTGATAAGAGGTACTTGATTAGATGCAGTTATATTGAAATCTACAATGAAAAGATCAATGACCTCCTGGATAAGAGCAATCAGGGTTTAACTATGAGAAGATATCAAAGGAAATGTGCTGCTTGATGCAAGGGAAGCTGTCGTAGACAATGTTGATAAAGTTATGGAGAACATGATGCAGGGCAATAAGATCAGACGAGTTGCAGCTACTCGCATGAATGAGAGGTCATCTCGATCACATACGATTTTCCGGATTATTCTGGAGTCGAAAGATGCCAATCAGAAAGATGGACCTGTACATATAAGCTACCTTAACTTAATGGACTTAGCTGGTTCTGAGAGAGTTTCTCTGACGAAAGCTGCTGGTGAGCGTCTTAAAGAGGGGGCTAACATAAACAAATCTTTGTCAGTATTAGGAAATGTGATAAGGCAACTAAGCGAGGGGAAGGAGTTTATCAGTTATCGCGATTCGAAATTGACTAGACTGCTCTCACAGGCTCTTGGCGGTAATGCCAAATCATTGATTATCGGGAATGTTACTTTAGCTGCAGAGGAGGAGACTAGATCTACACCAGAATTCGCCCAATGCACTAAAACTGTCAAAAATAAAACGAAAGTAAACATCTTGTCAGCTACAGAAGAGACACTTCAAGGATATCAGAACTCGACTCGCGATCTCGAAACTCGGCTCAAAAAGCAGGCAATTAAGCTAAAAGAGATGGATAAAAGCAAACAAGAGTATCTGCTCGAGATAGAAAGACTAAAAACGGAAGTATCTATTGTCGGGCGCTTTCAAATGGGAGCCTCGGCATCAACACCGAAAAAAACATTAAGACGTCATACTTTTGGACACTATGGCAACGTATCACCTAAAAAAGCATCCCTAGGGTATATGCCATTGAAAAATTATCCACCCAAAGAAGAATCATCCGGACGTGAAATGAGGCCTATTCAAGAAGAGACATATGAGGAGGCACTAGCCGAAGCAGAATCTGTGATAGCTGAAGACGTGCAACTGTACTTAAAAGACAACTCAAAGAAGAAAGAAAGAAAGAATCTTTCAATGAGCTTAGAGAATTCACTAAACTAGATAATCAGCTGGAGATTTTGGACCTGAAGAAACAGCTCACAGAAGCCAATTCTAAATTCGATCGTTACAGTCAGGAACTCCGCCAAGTAACGGATGCGTACAACGAAGAAATAGAAAGAGTTCAAAAAAATTCTCAAAAAGCGCAAGAATTTCATCGACTTGCAATACAGACTCGATTTTCTGGAAAAAAATAATAAAAAGACTAAAAACATACGAGTCAGAAATAGAGATGCTGCGTACTCAACTGAAGAACCTAGGAAGATCAGAGAGCCCTAAACCATCTCTTGAAGCTCAAAATATTGAGTCAAAAAAGAAGGTTGCAGACTTAGAAGCTATGCTTGACGCTGAGTACGAAGATATGCAACATTCTTTAAGTGCTGCTGCACAAACTGATGTAACGATGTCACACATTGCTGAACTGCAAGATGAAATTGGCTTCCTAAAAGAACTTGAATCTAAACTGAGAAATGACGTAAAGAGTCTGATGGACGAGAGTAACCAACGTGAGGTCAACCACTCATTTAAAATCTCAGATAAAGGATGCCATAATGATTGTACTATAAAAGAGCTTCAGGATCAAATGGCTGAACTGGAATGCCAAAACGAAATCTGGATTATGAAAAAGGACGACGAAATCAGAAAATTGCAACAACTAATTACAAACCCGAAGCAGGCTGGCACTTAACCAGAACCACCTGTGCAGGAAGACGTTGCATTTTATAGGGAGCAAGTTGAGTTCTCCCAGAACATGTACAAAAATGAGATAATAGGTGGAGAGTTACGTATAAACCATAGAGAAAATCTTCAGGCAGTTAAACTAGAAATATGTCTACCCTTGTTTAGTGTTTACGATTATTGCAGGGTTTGGACAAAGTTTAGGGCTGATCCCAGTGCTCACAGTGTACAATTTTCAGCTAATAAATCTTGAATTCTGAGGTAACAAAATCAACTAGAACTCTGAAAAAGTGATTTATCAGAAATCATGCCCTTACTTAAAAATTATAAGCAGGTTGTGGCTTATTATCTAGTAAAAGATACAAGAATCCCAGATCTGAAAACGATTATTGTTCATGTGATCACAAACTAGCAGCGACTTGGTTTGTGCGTTGTTGGCACTATTTCTAATCAGGGCGCAACGATCAAAAACGCACTTGAGACGATTTGCTCGGAGAATACTCACGGATCAAGTCCATTCCATTTTATAGTCAATGCTCAGAGTATTTCTACAATTTGTGATGAACCACATTTATTCAAAAATGGATGAAATGCTCTTATTGACATTAATATGAAAGTGAAGAAGCTGCACAGATTGAACATGTCTAGAAATCATATAATGTTGATCAGCAAACAAGACCATACAAAGAAGACGTGCAAGTGTACTTAAAAGACAACGCAAAGAACTGGAAGAATCTTTCAATGAGCTTAGAGAATTCACTAAACTAGATAATCAGCTGGAGATTTTGGACCTGAAGAAACAGCTCACAGAAGCCAATTCTAAAATCGATCGTTACAGTCAGGAACTCCGCCAAGTAACGGATGCGTACAACGAAGAAATAGAAAGAGTTCAAAAAAATTCTCAAAAAGCGCAAGAATTTCATCGACTTGCAATACAGACTCGATTTTCTGGAAAAAAATAATAAAAAGACTAAAAACATACGAGTCAGAAATAGAGATGCTGCGTACTCAACTGAAGAACCTAGGAAGATCAGAGAGCCCTAAACCATCTCTTGAAGCTCAAAATATTGAGTCAAAAAAGAAGGTTGCAGACTTAGAAGCTATGCTTGACGCTGAGTACGAAGATATGCAAGATTCTTTAAGTGCTGCTACACAAACTGATGTAACGATGTCACACATTGCTGAACTGCAAGATGAAATTGGCTTCCTAAAAGAACTTGAATCTAAACTGAGAAATGACGTAAAGAGTCTGATGGACGAGAGTAACCAACGTGAGGTCAACCACTCATTTAAAATCTCAGATATACGATGCCATAATGATTCTACTATAAAAGAGCTTCAGGATCAAATGGCTGAACTGGAATGCCAAAACGAAATCTGGATTATGAAAAGTGCCCCTCTTTATAACCCGTGAAATAGCCCTAGTTCTAATTAAATTTCAGTTCAAGCTTCCAAAATGACTTCCGACAATATTAAAGTAGCCACAAAGATCAGACCAATGATCCACCGCGAAGTAGCCGATGGTCTAGAGCGTCTTTGGAACGTAAGAGTAAACTGCATATGGGAAGCCGATGAAAGTAGTCGCCATGGAGAGGTTTATATATTCGACCATGTATTTAAGCAGGAATGTACAAATTCAGATGTATATGGATCTGTAGTAAAACCTTTAGTCGATTCCTTCATGGAAGGTTTCAATGCCACAATATTTGCATATGGCCAAACATCTTCTGGCAAAACACACACCATTTTGGGCAATAAAACAGATCCTGGGCTTTTCCAATTAGTATCCAATCAGTTATTCCAGCATGTGGCAGACCAGGTTGATAAGAGGTACTTGATTAGATGCAGTTATATTGAAATCTACAATGAAAAGATCAATGACCTCCTGGATAAGAGCAATCAGGGTTTAACTATAAGAGAAGATATCAAAGGAAATGTGCTGCTTGATGCAAGGGAAGCTGTCGTAGACAATGTTGATAAAGTTATGGAGAACATGATGCAGGGCAATAAGATCAGACGAGTTGCAGCTACTCGCATGAATGAGAGGTCATCTCGATCACACACGATTTTCCGGATTACTCTGGAGTCGAAAGATGCCAATCAGAAAGATGGACCTGTACATATAAGCTACCTTAACTTAATGGACTTAGCTGGTTCTGAGAGAGTTTCTCTGACGAAAGCTGCTGGTGAGCGTCTTAAAGAGGGGGCTAACATAAACAAATCTTTGTCAGTATTAGGAAATGTGATAAGGCAACTAAGCGAGGGGAAGGAGTTTATCAGTTATCGCGATTCGAAATTGACTAGACTGCTCTCACAGGCTCTTGGCGGTAATGCCAAATCATTGATTATCGGGAATGTTACTTTAGCTGCAGAGGAGGAGACTAGATCTACACCAGAATTCGCCCAAAGCACTAAAACTGTCAAAAATAAAACGAAAGTAAACATCTTGTCAGCTACAGAAGAGACACTTCAAGGATATCAGAACTTGACTCGCGATCTCGAAACTCGGCTCAAAAAGCAGGCAATTAAGCTAAAGGAGATGGATAAAAGCAAACAAGAGTATCTGCTCGAGATAGAAAGACTAAAAACGGAAGTATCTATTGTCGGGCGCTTTCAAATGGGAGCCTCGGCATCAACACCGAAAAAAACATTAAGACGTCATACTTTTGGACACTATGGCAACGTATCACCTAAAAAAGCATCCCTAGGGTATATGCCATTGAAAAATTATCCACCCAAAGAAGAATCATCCGGACGTGAAATGAGGCCTATTCAAGAAGAGACATATGAGGAGGCACTAGCCGAAGCAGAATCTGTGATAGCTGAAGACGTGCAAGTGTACTTAAAAGACAACTCAAAGAACTGGAAGAATCTTTCAATGAGCTTAGAGAATTCACTAAACTAGATAATCAGCTGGAGATTTTGGACCTGAAGAAACAGCTCACAGAAGCCAATTCTAAATTCGATCGTTACAGTCAGGAACTCCGCCAAGTAACGGATGCGTACAACGAAGAAATAGAAAGAGTTCAAAAAAATTCTCAAAAGCGCAAGAATTTCATCGACTTGCAATACAGACTCGATTTTCTGGAAAAAAATAATAAAAAGACTAAAAACATACGAGTCAGAAATAGAGATGCTGCGTACTCAACTGAAGAACCTAGGAAGATCAGAGAGCCCTAAACCATCTCTTGAAGCTCAAAATATTGAGTCAAAAAAGAAGGTTGCAGACTTAGAAGCTATGCTTGACGCTGAGTACGAAGATATGCAACATTCTTTAAGTGCTGCTGCACAAACTGATGTAACGATGTCACACATTGCTGAACTGCAAGATGAAATTGGCTTCCTAAAAGAACTTGAATCTAAACTGAGAAATGACGTAAAGAGTCTGATGGACGAGAGTAACCAACGTGAGGTCAACCACTCATTTAAAATTTCAGATATACGATGCCATAATGATTCTACTATAAAAGAGCTTCAGGATCAAATGGCTGAACTGGAATGCCAAAACGAAATCTGGATTATGAAAAAGGACGACGAAATCAGAAAATTGCAACAACTAATTACAAACCCGAAGCAGGCTGGCACTTAACCAGAACCACCTGTGCAGGAAGACGTTGCATTTTATAGGGAGCAAGTTGAGTTCTCCCAGAACATGTACAAAAATGAGATAATAGGTGGAGAGTTACGTATAAACCATAGAGAAAATCTTCAGGCAGTTAAACTAGAAATATGTCTACCCTTGTTTAGTGTTTACGATTATTGCAGGGTTTGGACAAAGTTTAGGGCTGATCCCAGTGCTCACAGTGTACAATTTTCAGCTAATAAATCTTGAATTCTGAGGTAACAAAATCAACTAGAACTCTGAAAAAGTGATTTATCAGAAATCATGCCCTTACTTCCATGATAAGAGGGATTCGTAAAAATTATAAGCAGGTTGTGGCTTATTATCTAGTAAAAGATACAAGAATCCCAGATCTGAAAACGATTATTGTTCATGTGATCACAAACTAGCAGCGACTTGGTTTGTGCGTTGTTGGCACTATTTCTAATCAGGGCGCAACGATCAAAAACGCACTTGAGACGATTTGCTCGGAGAATACTCACGGATCAAGTCCATTCCATTTTATAGTCAATGCTCAGAGTATTTCTACAATTTGTGATGAACCACATTTATTCAAAAATGGATGAAATGCTCTTATTGACATTAATATGAAAGTGAAGAAGCTGCACAGATTGAACATGTCTAGAAATCATATAATGTTGATCAGCAAACAAGACCATACAAAGAGCTATGTAAATTGAAACCCAGCCACTTTGATTTTATAGATTCGTTCAAGAATATAGAAATTAATCCTTTAATGATATCGTCGGATGATTCGAGCTTTCTCAGTTATGTGGTGGGGGTCCCGTGACTTCTCATACGGTATGAGCACGTATACCTCAAACCACAGTTTAATTTAAACATCACAATTGTTGGTTTGTTGACTTTGCGGTCAAATTTGATCCGAGGATGTCAGTTGCGTGTACGATTTGAACTTCCTTCACAATGGATTTTTTCGTTGTTGACGGATGAACAATACACTATAGACTACGCCGAGGACGACGCTGCTATCGATCAACCTGAACAACTTCCTATGGGCGACCTCGCTATGCCTATGGAAAAAACATGTACAATTGGTCAAACGAGCGCCTGCAACTGGTCGATTATTACGCATTTACCTGAACTAAAGTCCGTGGCAACCAATTTGGAAAATAATAACCCTGTGACTCGAGAAATGCCGATAAATTTCTCCAAATACGTGAAATTTTCGAGACACTCATAGAGAACTGTCGAAATTGTTATATTTCGGGTGAGTCCCCTACAAAATACGAGATGCTCGTGGGCCGATGTCCTTCCTGTGCCTACAAGAAAACTAAACCGAATAAGTATGGACTGATGATGCAAGACTCACCACTACCTGCTCAATGCTTTCGTCTATACGAACAGAAATATCACAGCAGATGACTGGTTCACGTCAGTAGAATTACATGTAGAATTGCGCATCAACCAACTGACCTATGTCGGCAGGAAGCGTAAAAATAAGTAACAAGTACCCCAACATGTAGTTCCAAATAAGAAGGAAACACAGCCAGGTACTTCTAAGTTTATGTTGTACAGCCTTAGAGTAGTATCTTCCAAAACCAAATACACATGTTCTCGTATAGCAATCTATGCAGCATGATAACAAAATAGTAGAGGAATCAAAGAAACCTGATAAGATCCTATATTATTTTTATAACACTATGAAGGCGGGGGGTAATGCATTAGATCGGAAGTGTGTAAATTACAATACTGGTTAGAGAACGAGAAGATGGCCTTGTGCTATTTGGTATCCAACCAGCTTCTGTAAATTCCTTTTTTTTTCAGTCTGGGACTGAAAGTTCCATTAGGCGACGAAATTTTATTGTTCCCCTGAGGCAAACTCTAATTTAACTTCGTATGAGAGGACGTTTATCAGATCCAAGACTTCCTAGGGAGCTTCGTTCAGCCATGCAAAGAATCCTAAATTACCAACGACGAATAAAGTAAGCCGTCTACTTCTCAGCCCAGAGTTCTCGATCCTGATGCAGTTGTTAAAGAAAAAAAACGACGTAGGTGTTACATGACAATACACAATGAAAAAAATGTTCTACAATCTGTAATAAGTATGTAAAGTCACAGCGCACTTACATTGTTTCGTGAAAAGTGATAAATGTTAATTATTGTATGTTTCCTTATACGAGAAAGTATTTGTTTTTGTTGTAGAATATCAACACCAAATATGTTGTTAAATGGCCCATTTTGTTAGTTTTTTTATGTTCATATTACAGTTCAAGTTTCGAGGATTATATTTATTGCATTACTCATCTTCAATGGGGTATTTTCGTTTTTAGACAATAAACAGTTTTCATGTAAGAGTGTCTTATGCGTACAAACCTGTTGTACACATGGCTAAAAACAGTAATGGCATTTCATATGTTGATAGTAAGATCCGGTGGATAACCTGTTTTGCGAGATTAGACGTGGGATTTCCAACACGAACACCATCTGTTTATTTGAAGCATTAAAAACTGTAATAATCAACAATTTCAATTTTCCATTGACAATAATGAAGAATTATGAAGGCGATTCATGTAAGGCACTAGGTAACTTCGCGTTGCTTTTAGAAGAGTATTGTCTGAATAGACAACAGTTACCTTGTGATTCTTCACCGAGCTGCATTTTTCAAGTTGAAAAATCGGGTGCTGAAAGTGATGGATCTATAGATTTGTGAGAATTTGCTGCTGCTTCAACTTCTTTTTGTAATAACAATAACAGTCTATATGAAATTTAACAATTCTGTTTCTTCTTTGATTTTGAGTCACCCTGTAAATGTAGCTCTACTAAACTATCGGACCGCATTCATAGCCTACAAGAGAAAAAATCTTCTATACTGGAAAGGAGGAAAAAAAGAATGTATCAACCTGATACATCTGCCCCTCTTTATAACCCGTGAAATAGCCCTAGTTCTAATTAAATTTCAGTTCAAGCTTCCAAAATGACTTCCAACAATATTAAAGTAGCCACAAAGATCAGACCAATGATCCACCGCGAAGTAGCCGATGGTCTAGAGCGTCTTTGGAACGTAAGAGTAAACTGCATATGGGAAGCCGATGAAAGTAGTCGCCATGGAGAGGTTTATATATTCGACCATGTATTTAATCAGGAATGTACAAATTCAGATGTATATGGATCTGTAGTAAAACCTTTAGTCGATTCCTTCATGGAAGGTTTCAATGCCACAATATTTGCATATGGCCAAACATCTTCTGGCAAAACACACACCATTTTGGGCAATAAAACAGATCCTGGGCTTTCCAATTAGTATCCAATCAGTTATTCCAGCATGTGGCAGACCAGGTTGATAAGAGGTACTTGATTAGATGCAGTTATATTGAAATCTACAATGAAAAGATCAATGACCTCCTGGATAAGAGCAATCAGGGTTTAACTATGAGAAGATATCAAAGGAAATGTGCTGCTTGATGCAAGGGAAGCTGTCGTAGACAATGTTGATAAAGTTATGGAGAACATGATGCAGGGCAATAAGATCAGACGAGTTGCAGCTACTCGCATGAATGAGAGGTCATCTCGATCACACACGATTTTCCGGATTATTCTGGAGTTGAAAGATGCCAATCAGAAAGATGGACCTGTACATATAAGCTACCTTAACTTAATGGACTTAGCTGGTTCTGAGAGAGTTTCTCTGACGAAAGCTGCTGGTGAGGGTCTTAAAGAGGGGGCTAACATAAACAAATCTTTGTCAGTATTAGGAAATGTGATAAGGCAACTAAGCGAGGGGAAGGAGTTTATCAGTTATCGCGATTCGAAATTGACTAGACTGCTCTCACAGGCTCTTGGCGGTAATGCCAAATCATTGATTATCGGGAATGTTACTTTAGCTGCAGAGGAGGAGACTAGATCTACACCAGAATTCGCCCAAAGCACTAAAACTGTCAAAAATAAAACGAAAGTAAACATCTTGTCAGCTACAGAAGAGACACTTCAAGGATATCAGAACTTGACTCGCGATCTCGAAACTCGGCTCAAAAAGCAGGCAATTAAGCTAAAAGAGATGGATAAAAGCAAACAAGAGTATCTGCTCGAGATAGAAAGACTAAAAACGGAAGTATCTATTGTCGGGCGCTTTCAAATGGGAGCCTCGGCATCAACACCGAAAAAACATTAAGACGTCATACTTTTGGACACTATGGCAACGTATCACCTAAAAAAGCATCCCTAGGGTATATGCCATTGAAAAATTATCCACCCAAAGAAGAATCATCCGGACGTGAAATGAGGCCTATTCAAGAAGAGACATATGAGGAGGCACTAGCCGAAGCAGAATCTGTGATAGCTGAAGACGTGCAAGTGTACTTAAAAGACAACTCAAAGAACTGGAAGAATCTTTCAATGAGCTTAGAGAATTCAGTAAACTAGATAATCAGCTGGAGATTTTGGACCTGAAGAAACAGCTCACAGAAGCCAATTCTAAATTCGATCGTTACAGTCAGGAACTCCGCCAAGTAACGGATGCGTACAACGAAGAAATAGAAAGAGTTCAAAAAAATTCTCAAAAAGCGCAAGAATTTCATCGACTTGCAATACAGACTCGATTTTCTGGAAAAAAATAATAAAAAGACTAAAAACATACGAGTCAGAAATAGAGATGCTGCGTACTCAACTGAAGAACCTAGGAAGATCAGAGAGCCCTAAACCATCTCTTGAAGCTCAAAATATTGAGTCAAAAAGAAGGTTGCAGACTTAGAAGCTATGCTTGACGCTGAGTACGAAGATATGCAACATTCTTTAAGTGCTGCTGCACAAACTGATGTAACGATGTCACACATTGCTGAACTGCAAGATGAAATTGGCTTCCTAAAAGAACTTGAATCTAAACTGAGAAATGACGTAAAGAGTCTGATGGACGAGAGTAACCAAACGTGAGGTCAACCACTCATTTAAAATCTCAGATATACGATGCCATAATGATTATACTATAAAAGAGCTTCAGGATCAAATGGCTGAACTGGAATGCCAAAACGAAATCTGGATTATGAAAAGGACGACGAAATCAGAAAATTGCAACAACTAATTACAAACCCGAAGCAGGCTGGCACTTAACCAGAACCACCTGTGCAGGAAGACGTTGCATTTTATAGGAGCAAGTTGAGTTCTCCCAGAACATGTACAAAAATGAGATAATAGGTGGAGAGTTACGTATAAACCATAGAGAAAATCTTCAGGCAGTTTAAACTAGAAATATGTCTACCCTTGTTTAGTGTTTACGATTATTGCAGGGTTTGGACAAAGTTTAGGGCTGATCCCAGTGCTCACAGTGTACAATTTTCAGCTAATAAATCTTGAATTCTGAGGTAACAAAATCAACTAGAACTCTGAAAAAGTGATTTATCAGAAATCATGCCCTTACTTCCATGATAAGAGGGATTCGTAAAAATTATAAGCAGGTTTGTGGCTTATTATCTAGTAAAAGATACAAGAATCCCAGATCTGAAACGATTATTGTTCATGTGATCACAAACTAGCAGCGACTTGGTTTGTGCGTTGTTGGCACTATTTCTAATCAGGGCGCAACGATCAAAAACGCACTTGAGACGATTTGCTCGGAGAATACTCACGGATCAAGTCCATTCCATTTTATAGTCAATGCTCAGAGTATTTCTACAATTTGTGATGAACCACATTTATTCAAAAATGGATGAAATGCTCTTATTGACATTAATATGAAAGTGAAGAAGCTGCACAGATTGAACATGTCTAGAAATCATATAATGTTGATCAGCAAACAAGACCATACAAAGAGCTATGTAAATTGAAACCCAGCCACTTTGATTTTATAGATTCGTTCAAGAATATAGAAATTAATCCTTTAATGATATCGTCGGATGATTCGAGCTTTCTCAGTTATGTGGTGGGGGTCCCGTGACTTCTCATACGGTATGAGCACGTATACCTCAAACCACAGTTTAATTTAAACATCACAATTGTTGGTTTGTTGACTTTGCGGTCAAATTTGATCCGAGGATGTCAGTTGCGTGTACGATTTGAACTTCCTTCACAATGGATTTTTCGTTGTTGACGGATGAACACTACACTATAGACTACGCCGAGGACGACGCTGCTATCGATCAACCTGAACAACTTCCTATGGGCGACCTCGCTATGCCTATGGAAAAAAACATGTACAATTGGTCAAAACGAGCGCCTGAAACTGGTCGATTATTACGCATTTACCTGAACTAAAGTCCGTGGCAACAAATTTGGAAAATAATAACCCTGTGACTCGAGAAATGCCGATAAATTTCTCCAAATACGTGAAATTTTCGAGACACTCATAGAGAACTGTCGAAATTGTTATATTTCGGGTGAGTCCCCTACAAAATACGAGATGCTCGTGGCCGATGTCCTTCCTGTGCCTACAAGAAACTAAACCGAATAAGTATGGACTGATGATGCAAAGACTCACCACTACCTGCTCAATGCTTTCGTCTATACGAACAGAAATATCACAGCAGATGACTGGTTCACGTCAGTAGAATTAAATGTAGAATTGCGCATCAACCAACGGACCTATGTCGGCAGGAAGCGTAAAAATAAGTAACAAGTACCCCAACATGTAGTTCCAATAAGACGGAAACACAGCCAGGTACTTCAAGTTTATGTTGTACAGCCTTAGAGTAGTATCTTCCAAACCAAATACACATGTTCTCGTATAGCAATCTATGCAGCATGATAACAAAATAGTAGAGGAATCAAAGAAACCTGATAAGATCCTATATTATTTTATAACACTATGAAGGCGGGGGGGTAATGCATTAGATCGGAAGTGTGTAAATTACAATACTTGTTAGAGAACGAAAGATGGCCTTGTGCTATTGGTATCCAACCAGCTTCTGTAAATTCCTTTTTTTTTCAGTCTGGGACTGAAAGTTCCATTAGGCGACGAAATTTTATTGTTCCCCTGAGGCAAACTCTAATTTAACTTCGTATGAGAGGACGTTTATCAGATCCAAGACTTCCTAGGGAGCTTCGTTCAGCCATGCAAAGAATCCTAAATTACCAACGACGAATAAAGTAAGCCGTCTACTTCTCAGCCCAGAGTTCTCGATCCTGATGCAGTTGTTAAAGAAAAAAACGACGTAGGTGTTACATGACAATACACAATGAAAAAAATGTTCTACAATCTGTAATAAGTATGTAAAGTCACAGCGCACTTACATTGTTTCGTGAAAAGTGATAAATGTTAATTATTGTATGTTTCCTTATACGAGAAAGTATTTGTTTTTGTTGTAGAATATCAACACCAAATATGTTGTTAAATGGCCCATTTTGTTAGTTTTTTATGTTCATATTACAGTTCAAGTTTCGAGGATTATATTTATTGCATTACTCATCTTCAATGGGGTATTTTCGTTTTTAGACAATAAACAGTTTTCATGTAAGAGTGTCTTATGCGTACAAACCTGTTGTACACATGGCTAAAAACAGTAATGGCATTTCAGATGTTGATAGTAAGATCCGGTGGATAACCTGTTTTGCGAGATTAGACGTGGGATTTCCAACACGAACACCATCTGTTTATTTGAAGCATTAAAAACTGTAATAATCAACAATTTCAGTTTTCCATTGACAATAATGAAGAATTATGAAGGCGATTCATGTAAGGCACTAGGTAACTTCGCGTTGCTTTTAGAAGAGTATTGTCTGAATAGACAACAGTTACCTTGTGATTCTTCACCGAGCTGCATTTTTCAAGTTGAAAAATCGGGTGCTGAAAGTGATGGATCTATAGATTTGTGAGAATTTGCTGCTGCTTCAACTTCTTTTTGTAATAACAATAACAGTCTATATGAAATTTAACAATTCTGTTTCT